CAGTTCCATCCACGTTCCTGAAAAGGACATGATCTCATTCCTTTTTATAGTTGCATCATATTCCATGGTGTAAATGTAACATATTTCGTTTTACCCAGTCTATTATTGATGGATATTTGTGTTGATTCCATATCTTTGCTGTTGTGAATAGTGCTGCAATCAACATAGGCATGTATATATTTTTATAACAGAATGATTTATATTCCTTTGGGTATATGCCTATTAATAGGAGTACTGGGTCGAACGGTGTTTCTGCTTCTAGATCTTTGAGTAATATGAATTTGTAAATGTACTCCCTGATCATTCTGATGCATGATGCACACAGAAAAAGTCTTTTAGCTCAACTGATTAGCCCTAAACCATTTATTTTATATTACATATAAATTTGATTGAATTACTCACTTTTATAAACTTATCTCTTATAAAATTTGGCTCTTTAGATTTTAAGGATTTGACTGAATTGTAAACCTATTAATTTTGCTTTAACTCCGCAAGGATTAACAGGAATACAAAATGTGACAGATGAAAGAACTTAAATCTGTAACATCAGACTCTCAAACGTTAGATGTTATTCTGTGGCGGGTTTTAAAATATTCACACCACAAATAAAAACATGGTGTGCTAAAATACTTGCATGTGATTGAATTTTAACATATCCAAAATAAGACACAGTTTTCCTTAAAGACAAAATAATAGGGTTCTTCATACAAATTTATCCTGATTTTACAGAGGAAAAAAAAGGAAAGATGGTAGAACCACCTGCAAATAAACACTAAAACTAGAAAAATCCTAAATAATTAATTCCCAAAGAATAAAAGAGAATCTTGAAAGGAAAAAATAGCCCATGGAGTTTACTTTGTCAAATACTTGTTATTCTGTGCATATGGCTACTGGGATGACAGACTTCTTTTGACATTTCTATTAAATAGTATATAAGTACCAGAGAATAGAAATGTAAATAATGAATACTACCTTAAGTTCGCAAGACTCATAACCTAAGGTATAAAAATGTACACAATACACAAAGCATATTTTCTTGCCCTTTAAAAAAAAAATCAATTGGAACTATAGTAACCATTTATAATTATGTATTCCTTATTAAAATATTGTAATAAGTGAAACCAATAAATAAAATATAGAAAAGTAATTGAAGAGGCAGCTTATGGAATAACTAAAGAAAATAAACTAAATATCTCATAACTTGTGTGTGTGAGTGTGTATGTGTGCCTATCTTTTTTTCCTACTTAATATTTTTTAACGGTTAAAAAATTAATTGACATATAAAAGTCTTATAAAACACACATGGAAGCAAATGAAAGAATACTAGCACTTTAAAAAAATTTGTAAACATCATTAATGGAATTCCAACACATTTTCTTTATAGTGAATTGCTTTCAACACTAAGTATTGTGATAAAAATAAATCTGGAAAAAAATTATAAATTTATAGATATAATTTAAATAACGCTACAGCACACATAATTTATCCCACTTTTATTTAAATTGACACAGTATACAGAGGGTAATTTGATGTTTATTTCATATATGTATTGTATAATCCTCAAACCAGCGTATTTAACGTATCTTTCTTTTCTTTTCTTTTCTTTTTTTTTTTTTTTTTTTTTTCCTGAGACAGAGTCTTGCTTTATTGCCCAGGCTGGAGTGCAGTGATGCGACCTAGGCTCACTGCAAGCTCCGCCTCCCGGGTTCCCGCCATTCTCCTGCCTCAGCCTCCCGAGTAGCTGGGACTACAGGCGCCCGTCACCTCGCCCGGCTAATTTTTTGTATTTTTAGTAGAGACAGAGTTTCCCCGTGTTAGCCAGGATGGTCTCCATCTCCTGACCTCGTGATCCGCCCGCCTGGGACTCCCAAAGTACAGGGACTACAGGCATGAGCCACCGCGCCCGGCTTATTTAGCGTATCTATTAGCTCAGGTATTTATCATATTTGTGTAGTAAGAGCATTCAGTCGATTTTCTTCTAGTTATTTTGTAATATAAAAAGTCTTACTGTAAACCGTTCTCATCCTTCTGTGTGTTAGAACACTAAAACTTATTCCTGCTATATGATTTTAACTTTCTTCCCATTGACCACCAACCAACCCCTCCCCATTCTACACTCTTCCTCTCCAAGGCTTGATCTATTCTCAGCTTCTATGATTCTATGATATCAACTCTCTCTCTCTCTCTCTCTCTGTCACACACACACACCGTGCACACACACACACACGCGCGCGCACACACACACACACACACACAAACTTTTCTAAGATTCCACATATGAATGAGATCCTGTGATATTTGTCTTTCTTTGCCTGGCATATTCCACTTAGCCTGACGTCCTCCGGGTGTATTTGAGTTGTCATAAATGATAATATTTTATTCTTTTTATGGTTGAATAGTATTCCACAACGTTATTCCATTCATCAGATTTTGGGCAATTCTGCAAATAATGCTGCAATAAACATGAGAGGGAAGCTATTCCTTCCACACACTGATTTAATTTATATATATATACATATATATATACACACACACACATAGTATACACACACACAAACACACACACAGAGTAGTGGAATTGCTGGAACGGTTTTAAGTTTTTGAAGAATCCTCATATTGTTTCCCATAATGGTTTTACTAATTTACAATTCCACCAACAGAGTGTAAATATTCCCCTATCTCCACATCCTCACCAATATTTGTTTACTTTTATATTTTTTGTAATAGCCATTCTAAGTGGAGTGATGTAATAACCCATTATGGTTTTGACTTGCGTTTCCCCATGACTGGCAATGTTGAGCATTTTTTTATTTGGAAGCATTTTATTACTTTCACTTGCCTACTTGCTTTGGCTAAGATTTTCAGTACTATGATGAATAGGACTGATGAAAATGAACATCTTTGTCTTGTTTCTGATATTAGAAGAAATGCTTTTAGCTTTTCAGTATGCTATGAGCTGTGGGTTTGTCATATATCGGCTTTTTTGGTGCTGAGTTACACACCTTGCATACCTATTTTGTTGAGAATTTTTTATCAAGAAGGGATGTTGGATTTTGTCAAATGCATTTTCTGTATCTATTGAAAATATGTTTTTCATTTTTCTTTCTTTTAATAAGAGTATTTTTAATAAAAGTGTGTGTTGTGCAAAGTTCAAATTCCATCCTTGCATCATGAAAATGAATCCCACTTGATCATAGTGAAAGATCTTTTTAAAATGCTGTTGAATTCAGTTTGCTGCTAATTTGAGGATTTTTGCATCTGTGTTCATCAAGAATGTTGGTCTGTAGTTTTCTGTTTCAGACAAGTTCTTGTCTCATTTTCACATCAGGAAAATTCTGGCTTCATAAAATGAATTTGGAATTATTTCCTTCATTTCAAATTTTTTGAAATAGTTTGAGAAAAAAAATGATATTTATTAATCTTTAAATGTTTGGTACAATTCAGCAGTTAAACCATCAGCTCCTGGACTTTTCTATAATGGAATACTGATTTCATTTCCTTACTCATTAATTTGATCAGAATTTTAGGTTTGTTTATAATTTATTCTTGGTAGGTTATATGTGTCCAGAAACTTATCCATTTTTTGTTTTTGTTTTCAAATTTGTTGGCATATTGTCGTTCATAATAATCTCTTATAATCCTCTGTATCTCTTTGATATCACTAATAGTATCCCTTTTTTCATCTCAAATTTTTGTTATTTCAGTCTTTTATCTTGTTGTATTAGTCTAGCTAAAGTTTTGTCTCTTTTATTTGTCTTTTCAAAGTCCAACACTTTGTTTTGTTGATCTTTTGAACTTTTTTAGTCTTCATTTTTTTTTAATTTCTGCTCTCAGATTTATTATTTTCTTGCTTCTATCAATTTTGAGTTTAGTTTGTTCTCATTTTTCTAGTTTCTTGAAGTGCCTGTTTAAGTTATTTATTGGAAATCGTTATTTTTGATCTAGGCATTTAGTGCTGTGAACTTTCCTATTCATAGAACTGATTTTACTGTGTCCTGTAAGTTTTAGTATGTCATATTTCCATTCTCATTTGTCTCAAATAATTTTTAAATTTCATTTTTAATTTTTTCATTAACCCATTGGTGATTTAGGAACATATTGTTAAATGTTCATGTATTCATAAGGTTTCCAAAGCTTTTCTCCTTGAATTTTAGTTTTATACTTTGTGGTTGGAAAGATACTTTATATGATCTGTATCTTCTTTTTTTTTATTGTTTTAATTACCCAGTAGTATAATTTTTTTATTATTATTATTATTATTATACTTTAAGTTCTAGGTACTGTATAACGTAGGTTTGTTAATATTATTGTGATGTGCTGTGACCATATCGTAGACCATACTGTTTTAATATATTTTTTTATTTTTTTTTTAGATTTTTTATTATATTATGACCTATACTGGGAAATGTTTTGTGTGCAATTAAGAAGAATGTATAGCCTGAAGCTATTGGATGAAATGTTCTGTACACGTTTGTTAGGTTCATTTGTTATGTGGTGCAGTTTTATGTTCCTTTATGCTGATTTTCTGTTTAGATAATCTGTCCCTTGTTGAAAGTGAGGTATTGAAAGTTTCTACTATTACTGTATTTGCAGTCTAACTCTCATATTAGGTCTAGTAATATTTGCTTTATATATTTGGGTGTTCTGGTTTGGTGTGCTTATATATTTTTGATGGCTATATCTTCTTAATGAATTGATTCTTTTATCATTATGTAATTTCCTTCTTTGTACCTTTTTACAGTTTTTGACTTAAAGTCCTCTTTATCTGACGTAACTATAGCTACTGCTTGTTTTTGGTTCTCACTTGCATGGAATATCTTTTTTTATCCCTTTGTTTTCAGTTTATGTTTGTCTTTTACAGTGAGGTGAGTTTTTTGTGGGCAGTATAAAACCAGGTGTTTTTTTTTAAATTCAACTCACCCACACTATACCTTTTAATTACATAATTTAACTTATTTATTTTCAAAGTTATATTAGTAAGTAAGGACTTACTCCTGACGTTCCAAAAATTGTCTTCTGATTGTAGATCATTTGTTCCTTTCTTCCTCTCTTGTAGATTTCCTCTATGATTTCGTAGTTTTCTGCAGGGCTAAACTGCTTTCTTTCTTTTCCTCGTTTGTACATTTGCTGTAATTTTCTTTGTGGTTACCATGTGGCTAATACAAAAAGTCTTGTTTTAATAGACTACTTTAAGCTGAAAACAACTTCATTTTGGTTGCAAAAATATACTGTAAACTTTCATCCCACACAGATCATTTATATTCTTGTTGCCCTAATTTACATTTTCATTTATAGTGTGTTTCTTAGTCACTGATTGTAGCTATTTTTTTGGACCATTTTGATGTTAAATATTTATACTAGAGATTTGAAAGTGTTACAGAGCACCATTTCAGCTCTAAGATATTCTGAGAATATTTATGAATTTAACTATACTGATGAGTTGCATACTTTCATGTGTTTTCATAATACATATTATTATTTTGTTTCCAATTATAGCAGTATTTTAAACATTTTATATGAGGTCACGGTGTCATGATTTTGCTGGGGTAGGGTCACCAGGTTGGTTGCTGGTCTGGGGACACGAGAGGATGTCTGTGCAGCAGCCTTTTTAGGGTGCAGGGCTGCCACCAGAATAGCTCTCATGCCAGGCATGAGCACATTTGAGCCAGGCTGCCATGCATCATTGTCTTTGGAGGCAAGGCTGCCCCTGGGGTGTCTATAAGACTGGCTGTAGAAACAAACACGTGGAGGCCAGGGTGACTATTAGACATCACTGTGCAGGTTCACCTGTTTTCCTGGTGAATAGCATGCCTTATGAGTTGGGAGGCCAGTGTCTCAGTCGTTCTTTGGGGCTAGGCTCTGGGAGGCCTGGGTAGTGGTGTTGCAGCTACCCCTCTTGAACACAGTGGAATGATGATGGGACCTCAGAGATGGAGGTGTTCAGTGGTTATTGGCTCCCTGGGCAAAATACACTCCAGCTGCGGCTCTGGTTTGTAAAGGGCACCATGCCAAAGAAGCTTAGGTTGCCAGGGTGGGGACTGCAAAGAGGGTTTCTATTCTGGGACAATGCAGTCCTTTGGACTCTTAATTGTACAAACTGGATTCTGGGGCTGTGAGGACTGAGACACCCTCCGATAGATGAATGTTTGCATTTTCAACAGTGATGTGAACCATTGAGGGTCCTCAGCTTTTTTTTTTTTTTTCTCTATAAAATAGTCCCTCTTGGCTTCAAGCCAAACATATCAGGGGAAACAGTGGCAGAGGCAGGATGCTGCTTTCCTCTCTATGGATGTATCCTGGGCTTCCATGCTCTACATGGATTTCACTGCTCCCCTGGTGCTCTTCCATAACTCCAGTTGAAATATAGTTGGTTGTTTGTTGTCCTGTTCCCTTTCTGTGGGGGGAATGAGAAACAGGTAATTCTAGTTGGCCATCTTGATGATGTTACTCTTTCTTTCTTAAAAGGTACCTCAGAGTACCTAATGATCAAATGACTTAGAGACACATTCATCAATAAATAAACATAGAATAGAGATAGTAAGGGCCAGGCGTGGTGGCTCATGCCTGTAATCCCAACCACTTTTGGAGGCCGAGGTGGGCTGATCACCTGAGGTCAGGAGTTTAAGACCAGCCTGGCCAATATGGCAAAACCCCATCTCTACAAAAATACAAACATTAACCAGGCATGATGGCGGGTGCCTGTAATCCCAGATACTTGGGAGGCGGAGGTGGGAGAATCGCTTGAACCCAGGAGGCGAGGTGGTAGTGAGCCGAGATCACGCCTCTGCACTCCAGCCTGGGCGACAGAGCAAGCAAGACAAAGCTTAAACAAGCAAATAAACAAGAAATAGTAAGTCTTTAATGTCTTAATTACAGTCAAATTTACTCAGTAGATTACTAGAAAGCATACCAGATTTGTCTTCATGTATCTAGTTATTTGACCTATTTTAATTACTTACATATTAAATGTTACCTTGATTATTTCATTATAATGAATATCTTCTCAGAATCTTTTTCTACAAAGTTGTGATGTAACAAGATTTCAGATTCAATAATCTTAGTAAAGCATTAAGTTTTATTATTTTATTTATTTGAATTTAATTTATTTATGTTCTCTCTCTCTCTCCCTCCCCCCCACCCCCCGTCTCTCTAAATAAGAGCATCTCAGGAAAATTATTTGCTTAAGATTCAGGATGGGATGAGAATATATTTTATAAGCTTACAGTTAAAACTGGGAGATTTAGGACAAAATGTGGAGCACTACTAATCATTATTATTGTATGACAGACACAAGCAGGGACTGCCCTAGAAATACTGGTATACATTATGACTCCAGTTAAAGACACAACGGACAGAAGAATTTGGCTATCACCAAAGAGTTTTACATAGACAATCAGAGATTTGATTCTACAGAAAAATTGCCAATGAGAACAAAATTTTTACAGTGAAGATATGATCCCCATTAATGATGATACCCATTCACATGACCACATTTTATCAAAAATATAGTCTATCTTAATCTCTGGGATTTTAATATTCCCTATATAGTTTCTATTACATTATTATTATTAAAGAGATGCATTTTAAGCATATTTATAGATTTATGAAAGAATAAATTAAATATCATATACTTTAAATACCATCCACTTTCCATGAGCATCTGAAACAAAAGGATTATAAATGTGACTCCTATTCTTTGCCAGAGAACAATATTCATTTGAAAATTCTACAAATGCTACATTTACCAGATTGACAATGATAAGTAACTGATGAACTAACAGATAAAAGCTATTTTTTCTTTTGAAAATTGAATATACTGCTCATATTATGGAAGGAATTTAAAAGAAGAGAGATAAAAAGACATTGCAGAAACAGAGAAAATACCAATGCCTAAAATGTTGCTTTAGGATGTTCTGTGCTTATTTTAATATACACAGAAATTGTGAATTAGTGGGAAATTTTGTTCATAAACAAATTTTGTATTCAACTTTGAGTATTCTAGACAAATCTCATTTATTTACCCTGACTACGGTTCTCAGTCTCTATTTTCATGTACCCCTAAATGCTTCTTATGCTTGCAAATCATAATCACCATATACAAGACACTAGTGCATTTTATATTCATATCAACATTCTTTATTTGGCAATATCCTTTCTTTCATTCTTTAAATTTTATTTAAAATCTTAATAAATGCTTTAATCTTAACCAACTTGCTTTCACTCTAAAGAACTAGACCCTGGATATTTTAATATTACAAAACTTTGAGTAACACCCATTTTCATTATATTATCCAAAATTTTATGGTGTGCCTGGATATCAGGTGCTGTTTCTATATCAGAGAGCAGTAATAAAGACAATACAAAATAAAATCTCACCCCTCTTGAAGCTTGTAGTGTACGGACCAATCAAGTGGGCTTTGTTTTTCTGTTTCCTGTAGTTAAAAGAAGTATTAAATCATTCCTTTTTTATACTCGTATTCAACAAATATCATATTTTCACGATATTAGTCAAACTCATGTATGTTTACCTAAAATTTAAAGCATTTTAGCACTTCCTACCAACACTTAAGTAATAATTTTCAACAAGCAGTTTTTTTAGTAAGAATTTTTTATAAGTTTTTTTTTTTAATAAAATAAATAAATTACGTTCCACAGGGAAGATAAGTTTGTAAAGACGGCCTGTTTTCTTAGGTTTTATCATGTCTTAATAACTAAAATGAGAATATCAGATTAGACACAGGTACTAATTCTATCAAGTCTTCTTGAGTGAGAAATAAAGCAGTATATTTCACAGATATTCAACACCCTTAGAAAAGGAAAGACTATAGTACTTAACATAGATTACAAAGGCTTCCATCAATACATTCTTTTTTCTCTCTCCTAACTCATTCCTTTCTGCCTTCCCCAGCAGCATGTCACATTTTATGCTACAAATATATTGAAGCTCTTTGAATCCTTTGTAGTTCTGATATATAATGTAATCTTTTAAGGTTCAGAACTTTATGTGTATTTCCTCTGACAGAGTGAAAAACTACATTAACACATATGTACACACATACACATACACAAATACAAATAATTATTACTGGCCTGACACATTTTAACATATGCATACTTTAATTCCAGATATATGCTAATGTTTCCATAGTGTCCTGTACTAACATTTCATAGCATTTTTGCACTGTATTTACATGTTTTCCTTTATCTGTTTGGATCTGTGACAGATAACTTCATATCTACCTTATTCACAATGTGTCTTCCTGGACTTGCTACTTGCTTTCATATAACTCTCTATGCAAATGATGGAAACTTAAGTCACAAGCTCCTTTATTATGCTCAGTAGAATGTTCTAAAATTACCAGCTTTCTTTGGAACATCAAATATCTAGTCACTGGAAATATGAGCTAATCTATAGCTATTCATTCTTCACATATAAGAATCAACAGAAAACTGGAGAAAAATTAAGCATGTTATATTATTATTATTGATTTTAGTTACAGATATAGTATGAGGATATTTATATTTGGAATTACAAACCTATTTTAAACGTGTCAAGAAATGCAAACATTTTAACATCCATATTGCAAATAATACTTCAATGTGGATGCTTTTAATCTGTGTTTTTAAGAGATTCTAAAGAGATGTTTAGTGACCACCATGGCTATACATAAGCCTATCTATATTTTGATGAGCAGATTAATTTAAAATGTATAAAATCTGAGTGAGATTTATCAAAAAACATCTTTGCCTACACATTGGACCATTACATATTATTATTATTATTAATTTTTTTTTGCAGTTTTAAGATTTAATAGAGTGAAATAGAGCTCCCATACAAAGGGAGGGGACCCAAAGCGGCTTGCCGTTGCCGTCTTGAATGCCTGGGTTTATATCCCGATCATTGTCCCTCCTGCTGTGCGCTCAGGCAATAGATGATTGGCTATTCCTTTACTTCCTCTTTTTGCCTAACTAGCATTTTAGTGAGCTCTCTTTACTATCTGATTGGTCGGATGTGAACTAAGTTGCAAGCCCCGTGTTTAAAGGTGGAAGCGGTCACCTTCCCAGCTAGGCTTAGGGATTCTTAGTTGGCCTGGGAAATCCAGCTAGTCCTGTCTCTCAGTCCCCCTCTCAGCAGGAAAACCCAAGTGCTGTTGGGGGGGCTGGCCAAAGACTGCTCTAACTGCTTCCTGATGAATTGGAGCATAGTAGGGGTTGTGCAGTTGAGATTTCCTCAGGAGGGGTGCCTTCGATGTCATTAGCAGCAGAGCATGGACTAGCAAGCCAGTCCAGGGGTCTGTGGTATATATTAGTCATGGACTGCATCTGGGGCTCTATTTGAAGAACGATTTGTAGCTTTACAGCTTCGATTCTGGAAGAAACAAATTTAACAAGTATGTTAAAGATACTGGACCATTATATATTATAATGTTTAAGAATATATATAAATATTAAGCTTATATATATAGTTCAAAGCTTATTAAACTAAACATGTTTATGTTACATGTACAATATATTAGATATATTATACATGTAAATTTATTCATAAACTCCAGTACTGAATATGGAGACTAGACTAATGTATTGAGCACCAGGAAACCTAAGCTAAATTTTAATTTTTCACATAAACTTTTTCTTACTATAGCTCATTAGAAGAGCATATAAATGCTTTTAACTTTTTATGTTCTTTCATTTATTTAAAAAATTGTGGGATAGTTAATATCTGTATCATTAAAGATTATATCAGACAAAATATCTCCTGTTTACATACTAAATAGAAAAGAAACCTATACTTAAAATTTATTTTTCTTATATTACCACATTTAAAAATATATATTTTTATAAAATAAATAAATTACGTTCCACAGGGAAGATAAGTTTGTAAAGAAGGTCTATTGTCTTAGGTTTTATGATGTTTTAATAACTGAAATAAGAATATCAGATTAGACACAGGTACTAATTCTATCAAGTCTTCTTGAGTGAGAAATAAATGATATTGAAACTGTTTCCACTCATAATTTCTTATGACAGCTTGTTACTACTAGTGTTCATAATCACATGTTTATGTAAGTAATAATAAAATAGATGAGACTCAAATAGTTTTCTTTTTACTTACATGTACAACTGGTAAATTTTGCAAAGTTAAATATAACTGTTGAAGATATAAAATGTGATACTATGTCTTCCTACCATATTGATGAATTAAAATTCTGCAAAATGTTCTGCATGAACATTATTGCATTTTTATTTGCAGTTCTGATACCAGCACAAACAAAATGAAGGCATTTCCTCAAAGATCTAAAAACAGAAAGGCTATTTGACCCAGCAATCTCATCACTGGGTATATACCAAAGGAATATAAATTATTCTATTATAATGCCATATGTACACATGGTTTATTGCAGCACTGTTGTAAGACATGGAATCAGTCTGAAAGTTCATCAGTGATCCACGGGATAAAAAAAATGTGGCACATATACACCATCGAGTACTATGAAGCCATAAAAAACAACAAGATCATGTCCTTTGCAGGGACATGGATAGTATTGGAGGACATTATCCTTTGCAAAGTAATGCAGGAGCAGAAAATGAAATACTACATGTTCTCACTTATAAGTTGGAACTCACTGATGAGAATATGTGGACACATAGAGGGGAAAAATACACACTGGGGCCTATTCGAGGGTAGAAAGTAGGAGGAGGGAGAGGATCCGGAAAGATAACTAATGAGTGCTAAGCTTAATACCTGGGTGATGAAATAATCTGTACAACAAAGCCCTGTGACACAAGTTTACATATGTAACAAACTGGAATATATAATCTTGAACTTAAAATAAAAGTTAAAAAGCAAAAGATTAAACGTAAAATAAGAAAACAATTATTAAAATTATTAGATAACTTTTGAGTAGGAAAATCTTGCATTTGGTGCTATAATTATCATTGGATGTTTAAGACAAAACTCATTGGTTGAGAATCAAAATATTCCATATCTTACACGTTTACTGTGCCATATTTTTCAATGATTTTCCATTGAAAATTAAAATAAGGTTGTCTCAAATAAGTTAGACAGATTTTATTTTATTTATTTTTTTTTTTGAGATGGAGTCTTGCTCTGTTGCCCAGGCTGAAGTACAGTTGTGCAATCTTGGCTCACTGCAACTTCCGCCTCCTGGGTTCAAGCAATACCCCTGCCTCAGCCTCCCAAGTAGTTGGGATTATAGGCACCCGGCACCATGCTCGGCTAATTTATGTACTTTTAGTAGACATGGGGTTTCACCATGTTGGCCAGGATGATCTCTAACTCCTGACCTCAGGTGATCTGCCATCCTCAGCCTCCCAAAATGCTAGGAGTACAGGCTGAGCCACTGCCCCCAGCCTATTTTTCTTTTTTCTAATACTACATTGTTAATATGAACAAGTCAAATTCAAATGTTAATATTACTTACCAAATATTCTATTCTCTTGAAATTCTGTCTCTGAATAAACTAAAAATGTTTATATGTATGTATGTATATATATGCACCTGCACACACTTTGCTCCCATGCAAACAAAAAGAATATGCAAAGACAGCAACAAAATCGTGTTTAGAAATATATTTAAATGCTGAGGAATTAAAATCTTAAATGAACTGAATTCTTGAGTGAAACAAACTTTTCCTAGGAGAATAGGGACCCAAGCTACTTTCATCCTTAAAGTCAGCCCAGGTGGAAAAAACAAACAAACAAGCAAGCAAAAAAGAAATAACGTAAGTAGGAGGATTTAAACCTGAGAGGAAGAAATAAATTAAGAGTCTTACCTGGGCTGATTGGATAGGTTAGAATCCTCAGGAGCTGAGTAACAGAGTTCTCATTTGCTTGCAAGAGAGCATGGGAAGGCTACACAATGAAGTCTGGTGGCCAGAGAAAAGATCAAAGACAATTACCTAGATCCTTGGCATACCAGTCTACAAAATATTCCCTGTGGAGCCTTCAAAAAGAGAATAGTGATGGTGCCCAAAGACTGGAAGGAGATCAAAATAAAAAGAAGCAATCTGCCAAGACACAGAAAGCTAAGAGCTAGGCTGGAGAGCAGAGAGCTGTCCAGAAGTGTCAAACACAGGTAACAAAACTGGAACTGAACTGTAAAGAAGAGGTAGAGAGAGGGAGCCTCCTGAGTCCTCCAACCTCTAGAGAAAGCAGAGCTCTAACTTTGCCATTGAAATAGTTGAACCTGATGGCATTAAAAAAATCTAAAAAGAAAACACAGACCAGGTCTAAGTTAAATGAAGATTTGCAATGAAGCTATCAGCTCCTACTTCAGCAACCATTAAAAAAGGAGGTGGAGTAATAAAATCTATTTCAACTTCTACTGTTCTTCAATACACAGTAACTGACATATAATAAAAAATAATAAAAGCAAATAAGTAACCTTATAAATTTTTTAAAAAATACCTTACAGTGGGGAAAAAAAAAAAAAAGATAAATCCAACTCATATACGAACCTAATGTCTGAATGGGCAGATACAACTTTAAAATAATCTTCATAATTAACTTGATACATGTGCAGGAAAAAGGTTAAAAATGTGTTAAAACTGATTTTATATTTTAGACTAATTATAAAACAATCACATAAATATGAATTATGACTGAAAATAAATATCTGAAATGAAGGCACTGCATTTAAAGGGGAATAGATACAGATTGTTTAAGCTCATTTGAAGAAAAGGATAACAGAAATTATACAACCTAAAGAAGAGATGAAAAAAGAAAAAAATTTAAAGTTATTTGAGAATGGCTGGACAATTTCAAATGATCTAAAACACATGCAATTGGAGCCTTGGAAGCAAAGGATATATACTATGAGGCAGAAAAACATTTGAGAAATAGTCATAAATTTTTCAAAACTCATGAAAGGCATCAACCCACATATTAAAAACCTAAGTAAATTCAACACACATTCACACACACACACACACACACACACACACACACACCTTAAAAAGCAAAATATCACTTCTCATTCTTTTGGCTAAGAGCAAGCATAGGAAGCTAAACAAGGAAGTGAAATGTTAAACGCAACCAGACAAAAAAAATTAATTACTTTTAAAGAAATAACAGTACAAATATTGGTTGACTTTATATCAAAGGCAACAAAAAGTCAGAATACAATAAAAATAGTTTTAAAGTAATTTTCATTGGGGTAAAAAGACCTTTAAAATTTGCTGATGTAACTAGCTATATATGGGAAGCAATTAATTTTGACTATTATATCATACCATTCACAGTAATCTAAAAATTATCAAA